AATTCAGTCTTGTTAACTGATTAACTGGTATAGCATTAATATTTTGTGATATGATAAAATATAATAGGGTAAATGTTCATAGATGTCTGTTGACTTATCTGTTTTTGATGAATTATTTATTCTAGTACAAGACATTTTTTAGAATATAAAACTGAATAAGAAAATGAAATCATACATTTTTAAGAATGACAATTCTACATTTTTTAAAGTCTTTGGCTTGCTAAAATAATTTATAATTATCATTACTAAGAAATGCTGCTCTTGTTATATTATTAAGTATTTAATGTGTCTTGAAATACATGATACCCCTATATAAAGGTATTACATTGACAAGTAAGCTTTTAACCCATTAACTGCCATCCAAAATGAGTTCCAGATCTATTGGTAATGCAGGCCAATTTTTATTATATTGCTTAAACTATTTTATGTAAAAGTGTTAAGAATTATGGTAATTTTCATGTTGGCTGCTGATGCCTCTAACATATATATGCTCCCTGTTAGCAACCAATGGGTTAAACATATACGACTACTTGTTTTATCTTGCTGTGATGATTTTGAGAGAATAAGCTCAGGTTTATGAATGTGTGCTGCTTTATAGTAATTCTGCATCATGAGAATCACCCTTTTGTGGAGTACTATTTTTGGCTTTTTATGTTTTTATATGTTGCATTTTTCTATTTATTTCAGAGTTCTCTCATACTCTCACACACTCACATGTACTCCCTCCAACACCCATGCAAACTCATGTATGAAAATAGCATGATTATACCATCTGACTAGTCATGAATTCCGATAGTAGAAGTTGATATTTGATCCCCTCACAGACATCCATTACCTTTCCATTAATATGGTCTGGTTGCAAATATTAGGACAGTTACAGCTTCCTCATAAGAACTTACTGCATTATCATTATTTATGAAAACTACTTAACTAGACTTTCATATATAGTTCAAATTCATATTCATGTTGTGGTTGAGTGTAAATGGTGTCTTTCTTGGTTTTATTTAGGTGCTAAAAAATGTTGAAACATTATATTTTTGTGAGCATGAAATATTGGGTTATAGCTCCCTTGCATATTATTACCTTACCTATTGCTTAAATGAGCTATGATTAAAATGCCTAATTATTAGACACTTGAAAGAAAAATATGATTTAAATGGTAATGTAAATACAAATACTTTATGTATGTGCTGTTATAGTAGTTTTATAATTTGCAGGCTAGCTGTGGGAATATATTCATGTTTTATTTGAGACATTATTGTGTACAAATTTTAACCTGACATATTTGACTTACATGTCTAGAATTATCATAATTAGATTAAATTGTATGGATTATAGTTATTCACATTAGCCTGTTACTTAATTGTTCATAAGAGATGAAAACACTAGTTCCACTGGATATGCATCATGTAATGGAGGATAATAGAGGTAAAACTAGTTACATTAGTATATATAGCAAAGTTTTTTTTTTTTTAGTATCTCAGTTAGTAATTACTAGCTGCAACATATACTTCATACAGTGATTCCACTGTAAACTGAATAATCAAACTGTTTTCATTATATGAAAAGAAGGCTTATTGTTATCAAAACAAAAGCAGAAATAAATGTGAATGATTAAAACGTATGTTTCATTTTTGTTATTCTACAATGTCTTTAATCTCTTCTTGGGTCAGTGAACATGGCTTTCACTTTTCCCATTTCAAATCCTTCTCCATCCTCTTTTTTCGCTCGATATAGGTCTCTTCTTCACTTCTGCTCAGGCAAGTTCCTTAGTGTCATTTTTTACCACAGCCTCTTTATTAAGGTTAAAGAAAAAACGCTGGCACTTCCGACTCTTACAGACTCTCCCATATAGCTTTGGGTTCAAACTGTATAAGTCTCCTTCCCCCCCCAATCCCTTGCCTGCTGTTGTCATGGGGTGGGGGGGGTAGGAGACAGATATACCCAATGCCAGGGATCAACTTTATCTTCAGTCTCAGCCCTTGACTCAACTAATTTTGCACAATCCCTTCTTCCCCTCTTTCTTCTCTTATCCATCCACTTTTTCTATCACTTCCTAAGGTGTGAGAGGTGTTGCAAGGATGAAAGGCTGTCTTTGTGCCAGTCATGAACGGCCTAGGGTAGCCATGAGCATGGTATTCCTTTGTTTAGTTTTCTAGACTTTATGTGTCAGACACCCTGAGGGTTGGACATTTCTTTCCCCAACATACTCCAGGTTTGACATGTACACTTATTAGAGACAATGAGGTTTGTCCCTTTATCAACTAGCCCACTGATTTTCATGCTCTTTATGACCACGACTATGGATATTACCGTCTTCTCAATGCCTACTATGACCTCGGCCTAATCCAAATCATCCACCATAGTCATTCCTTGACCGTCAGGAAACATTCCTCCTTTTCCAACATCCTCCTCTTCATCCCCTCCACCTCTATACAGCTTTCTTCATTTACTACCCCCTCCTACCTTATTACTACTCTGCAGCCTTATTATCCATGTGTCCGCAATACTATTTCCTTAACACCACTCTCTCTTCTACGAGGCCCCGTCCTTGTACTACCACCACTACAAATCTTTTGATTACTCTGTTTTGCCAAGTCAAATGGGATCGAGTTTTGTGAACCCTTCTAGTCCTTTACTCTGACAACACCCTCCTCTACCCAGGGGCAGTCTGGCATCATGACTGCAGGGTGGCTAGCAATAAAAGAGGGACCGGTTCAGATTGAGAAAAATGATTCATGGGTGTCCTCTAATAAAAAATGTAGATAACGATTATTGTGGGGCCCTGGTTATGACTGTAATACTTCAGTTTACCATCATCATCATTAGGAGCTAACGCTGACAGGGGCGCATAGCCGCGTCCACCTTTTGGGATCCCTCATGGCAACCGCCAGGCAGGGACTCGGCCCATCTCGAGCTGCCCAAGCCACGACCTCCTAGGTCGTCCCACAGGCCTCCTCCACCCAGGGTTGTCTCTTACAGAGACAACCTGATGAGCAGGATCAGCCTGTGGAAAGCGAGCCAGGTGGCCATATAGCCTGAGTTGGCAATCCCGGATTAAGCAGGTAATAGGTACTGTGCCAGTCTCACTGTGCAACCGTTGGGTAGACACATGGTCCCGCCAACAGTACCCCATGATCTGGCGCAAGGACCTATTACAAAAGGCATCAAGACAAGACTCCAGGGCACTGGATAATGTCCAGGTTTCACTACCGTAGAACAAAACTGGCATTATCAGGGCCTTGAAAACCCGTAGCTTGGACCTGCACAGGTACCGACACCTCCAAATACTCTTGTCGAGAGAGTTCATGACCCCTGCTGCCAGGCCAATCCGTCTGCTGACTTCCTGGTCTGACAGCCCAGAGTTATGAACTGCACTACCAAGGTATGTAAAGCTCTTTGTGACTTCAGTGTCCTCGCCGCAACCACGTACCGACTGAATAGGTTCTAGAAAGTCCCAAAGTCCTGAATCTTGGTCTTGGTCCAGGAGACCTCTTGACCCAAGGGCTTCGCTTCATTACTAAATGCATCCAGAGTCACCACTAGGGTTTCCAAAGACAGAATAGCAACATCATCGGCAAAGTCAGGGTCTGTAACCTTAATATTGCCCAGTGTTGCTCCACAATGACTTTGACCAGTAGCTCTGCCCAGTATCCAGTCCATGCAAGTATTGAAAAGAGTTGGTGCAAGAACATAGCCTTGCCTCACTCCTGAACTGACAAGAAAGAAGCTCAACAGGCCTCCACCACACTTTACAGCACTTTCAGTACCGGTATTACTCTCAGTCTCAGGATCTCCCAGAGTGATTCCAGATGCACCGTATCGAACTCCTTGAGGTCGATGGGCTGCAAGCAGCCCATGTCCAAACACGACGGCGCTCTACAATGACTCGAAGCGCAAGGATACGGTCTATTGTGGACTTCACAGGAGTGAATCCGGATTGCTCCAGCCTCTGATGCCTCAGTAGATGGTCTCTAATACGTCTCAGAAGGATGTGGGCAAGAACCTTGCCTGGTACACTGAGCAGTGTGATGCCTCGGTGATTGCTGCAGTTCCATTGGTCTCCCTTCCCCTTCCAGAGAGGGATGACCACACCCCTCAACAGGTCAGGGGGAACGGTACCGGACCGCCAGATGGCAGCCAGGTCAGCATGAAACCCCCGCGCCATAGGTTCACCGCCAGCCTTTAACAGTTCAGCTGAGATGCCGCAAATACCCGCTGCTTTACCACTCTTCAGCTTGGAGATCGCCCCCCCCCCCCAACTTCATTTAGGGAGGGTGGGACTTCGCTAATGGGTGGGTCCGGTAGCGGAATCACGGCGCAACCCGCATCCAAGTTAACTGTTGGAGGGTCAACCTGATACAACTGCTCAAAATACTCAGCCCAACGTTCCCGCACCGCAACAGGATCTGAGACGATTTGGCCACCTACTTAGCGAACTGCAGTCACCTGTGAAGAGGGCTTGGAATTCAGTTTTCTCAGGGCTTGGTATGCAGGACGAAGGTCATTTACTAAGAAATGGCCTTCGACCTCCTCTGCAAGACTCCCAATAAACTGTTCCTTGTCCCTTCTTAACAGAGACCGAGAACGTTGCAAATCCCGATCCCCTGCCAGACGAGCCGCACAGCAAGCATCTGTGGCTTCAAGTGTCTCCTGAGAAATTGCCCTCGGGTGTTCTCCAATCGATTCTTCGGCTGCATCAAGCGTTTCGTGCTTGAAGGTGTCCCACAGAAGTATAGGGTCCGTCAGATTGTCGAGCGCTGTGAAGCGATCAGAGATTGTCTCGGCAAATCCCCGAGCACACTCCCTCTCCTTCAGCCTGTCCAAATGAAATACTCTAGGGTGGTCATTGGACCGCTGGGGAGTTTTGAAGTTGACCCAGAGGGTAGCCACAACCAATCTATGGTCAGTACCACTGAACTCAGCACTCCTATACACCCTGCAGTTCAGGAGGATCCTCCAACGAGTGCTAACGAGAATGTGGTCGATATCCTTGGCTG